GAATAATCCTGAAGAAAATGCTTTTTGAAGGGGGTCTAGACTGAAAAGCGAGAGACAAAGCCACCCTAAGAAACCCTCTTTCACCTAAGAAGGCAAAAGAAGCAACATTTGGAATATGGGAGCAGATCTGGGCCTGAAAATTTGGTCAACAGAGTTACTGGAAACATGTGGTCAAGGATTTCAATTTGGAAGTTTTAGTATGAAGAAGCATTTTATCTTCATTTCACTTGCAATAATTTTTTACTTTAATGCATTATACTCATACTTTCTTAAAATCTTTTTGTAGTTAAATAAACTTGTTTTATTATTTAGAAGAAGTCCATTGTTGTGTTTAAACTAATTGTGTGGATAACTCCATTAGCAAAGTGTTGGATTTTGATCCTCTTAAAGGGACAATGGACCTAAAATATCTGGATGGTCCATAACAGGATTGGGGAGTGCAGAACACACCCATTTGAGAGGGAAACTTTGAGGCTGGGATAGTGGTGGAGTCATCCTGCAAATGGTAACAAAGGCTATTGGAAACCACAGTGTTCTGGAAAGTGTAGCTATACACAGACACTCAGGATGTGATTTGAATTCTATTTGTCTTTTTTTGAGGAGCCCAGATTTGGAGCTACAGCAGCAGAGCATAGCGAGTCACCACAGGTTTCAGGGCATAGCCCCTCACTGGTCTTGATTGCATCCTAGAATGGCATAGGCTGTTACAACCACAAAGGGAATTTGAAGTCATGGCATGAAATGTGACATTTTTATAAACTGGTTGGTAACTAGCAGAATTGTGGGGCCATAGGAATTGGGAATGTCATTTTAACTTCAGGGAGTTGAGGCAGATTTGGCAAAGGAATCAAAGCACCCCAGATATTTGGTGCAGGGAATCTTTGTTCAGGTATACACCAACTGAATTGATGTAAGATTTAATGAACAAATGCAGTTTTGGCCACCAGAGATTTCAAGAGACCAGCCTCTATCTTTTCCAGTGACTGAAATGGACAATAAGGAGAGAATCATGATATAGGTGGAACATCACTTGTATATGGTTGACTGTTTGGAATATAAATCTGCAGTGGGAAATGTGCCCCTTTCAGGTGATTAAGCCATTCTTCAAAAGCAGGCTTGATGGCCAGCAATTCTTTGTCACATATCTTATAGTTTTGCTCAATGGGAATCAGTTTCTGGGGATAAAATGTACGGTGATGAAAAACATCTTGGGACCTGTGCTGCTTGACAAAAGTGTTCAGATCACATAGTTAGAGGCATCTGCTTCAACAACAGAGGGTTTTGTCAGGTCTGGATATACCAATATGGGCACAGATGTAACTGTTTCCTTTATTTGAGCAGAGGCAAATGGAGCTTTGTCGTTGATCTGAGTGGGAACAGGATTGAGTCTCTAGTTCCTTCTCAGGTTTAAAGTGCAGGACAATAAATGTGACTACAATAATTGTCCTTTGTTGTAAACTTCCATTTTTTGTTCAATGGCAATAAAAGAAATTGACCCCTTCTTCCCTGCCCTACCACATTTTCTCCTACTTTTATTCAGGATGTGTGAAAATTGTCAGGATCTAATGAAAACTCAGTAAGCCCCTTTCTGATGGCCTTTCAAATAGACTTGTTTGATTTATAGAAAATGGTATACTGTGTACAGACAAAGTCGCAAACTACAGAGAATGAATCTGAATAAGTGCATCATATTAACTAATTCAGGAATTACAACTTCCAGAAGACCACAGATAAGGATATTCCTCATCAGCATTAAATTATGCTTGGGCCTGTAAAACTAATTAGCTTTCCTCTGGAAAAAAAATTCTATCATACTATTCCACATGCACACATCTCTGCAGTTGCAAAGTAGAAAATATTTATGTGTAACATCTGCTAATTGTGCACTGGTTCTCTTGTTTTCACAGACCAGATTCAGACAAATTAAAGCCAACCTGATTAGATGGCCACTAATGTATCACTATGTATTCTAAGAAGACAGAAAGCAGCAGCAACTGAAGCTCTGTTACTGCACTTGTTTATCAGTTTACTCTGTGTTATATTTATCTTATACCTTTCCTGCATCTGTCTCTAGTAGACTGACGCCATCAACATTTTCTCTTAAGTTGATATCTGTGGAGTATTGTCTGGGAAACATGTTTCTTCTCGCTATAGTTTTTTAACTATTAGTTGCTGCAAAACTGTTTCTTCTGTTGGAAACTAATTTTCTTTATCTACTATTGAGATTGCTGATCTCAACATAGGCAGCACAGCATAATGCCCACTCTTTTTAAAAATTCCTATTGTTTAATTGGTTTGCTGACATTAACAGATAAATCAAGATCTAAGGTTTTAAATGAGAATTCAAAATACCAAGTATCAGAGGGGTAGCCGTGTTAGTCTGGATCTGCAAAAGTGACAAGGAGTCCTGTGGCACCTTATAGACTAACAGATGTACCGGAGCATAAGCTTTCATGGGCAAAGACCCACTTTGTCAGATGCATGTAGTGTAAATTTCCAGAGGCAGGTTTAAATAGAAATATCAAGTGATATCAAGTTGTTCATGTGCCAGTGCATTTATTTCTTTCATTCTGTGTAGGTTTGCTGTGTGTGTGTGTACTATCCCCACCTTTCTTTATATGGATCACCCTATTAAAGACACAGAAGCTCAATAAGAGATTAAATTGAAACTTTGATAGAGTTTACCTGTTCCAAGGTGAACCCAGGACAGTCCTGTAGACTAATGTCCTTTGGTTATTCATAGAATTTTTATAGCTATTGTGCAAGCTTCCTGACTCCTCCCTGCCCATGTGCCATAATCATGAACTGGACAGCCTTACCATTAGGGGTAAGAGTGTGTTGTACTTTCTATGTCCATTACATACCTGGATTACCTGAATTAGAATCAGATGTAAAAATACTTTTGTGGATGTGGATACGCGCCATAGTTCTTTGTTGTTTTTTATTTTTAGAATTTCAGACGTGTAGAACTGGAAAGGATCTTGAGAGGAGGTTACTTAGTCCCTCCCCCATGCTGAGGCATGACCAAATATACCTAGACTAT